AGTCTCATGATCGGTCAAGGTTTGTTGAAACACGAACATCTACACGGTTACTTGAGAAAATAGCTCGCTCTGTCGAGTACAACGAGCCAGTTCTCTTAGTAGGAGAAACAGGGACTGGGAAAACTACTCTAGTTCAAAATCTTGCACACTGGATCGGACAGAAACTCACTGTTTTGGTTTGTTTTGACATACATTCTTTTAGAGACCTGTTTAGCGTAGTGGTTTTCTATAATTTCTAATTTTCCTTTATGCAGAATTTGAGCCAGCAAAGTGATATAGTTGATCTATTGGGAGGATTTAAGCCTATTGATGCAAAGCTTATGTGCACAATGCTGTACAATGAATTTAATGAATTGGCAAGAGATTCAAATATTAAGGTAGCCTTACATTTAAAACTTTTAGTCACTCTCTCGTAGATTTCCTTCTGCAGTCATTCCTAGCCATATATGTTTCGGAGTGAATTTAGCATTTTGCTCAAGTTATGGGTCCTTTTCTTTTTTGGTATCCAGGCTTCTTCAAAAACAATGAAATGGCTGCAAAAACACTTCAGAGACAAGAAGTGGGATGCATTTTTGAATGGGTTGAAGGTAACTACTGACTTTATAGTATCGAAATCAGGTATAAAGAGGAAGAAATCGGAACAGATTGCGATGCATCTTTCCGAAAAAGTGGAGAAGATTCATCAACAATTTCGTTCAGGTGGAATGGTTTTTACATTTGTTGAAGGTGCATTTGTGACTGCCCTCAGGGAGGGGCATTGGGTTTTACTAGATGAAGTAAACTTAGCTCCACCGGAGATATTGGGCAGGCTTATTGGTGTTCTTGAAGGAGTGAGAGGATCACTGTGTTTAGCTGAGAGAGGGGATGTAATGGGCATTCCCCGACATTCAAATTTCCGTTTGTTTGCCTGTATGAATCCAGCGACGGATACTGGTAAGCGAGACTTGCCGTTCTCCTTCCGTAGCAGATTTACAGAGTATGCTGTGGATGATGACTTGTGTGATGATGACCTGGAGATATTCGTGAGGCGATTCTTAGGTGGACGTGAATCTGACAGTAAATTAGTAGGCAACATTGTTTGCTTTTACAAAGAAGCTAAAAGGTTATCTGAAGAATGTTTGCAGGATGGTGCTAATCAGAAGCCACAATATAGCTTAAGGTCTCTTTACCGTGCGCTAGAGTATGCGATAAAAGCAGAAGGTATTGGCGGATTTCAGAAAGCACTATACGATGGTTTTTCCATGTTTTTCCTCTCCTTGTTGGATGCTTCCAGTGCTAAGATCATGAACCCAATAATACTACAACGTATCTCAAGGGAAAGTAGCCGAGGCCAACCACTTCAAAGATACTTGGGAGAGTTAAAAGGCAGTTCTGATGAATTTGTGGAGAAATATGTTAAGACGAAGAGTGTAATTGGACACCTTAATCACTTAGCGCATGCCATTTTTATTAAAAAATATCCTGTTCTCTTACAAGGACCAACATCCAGTGGAAAAACAAGCCTTGTCAAATATCTCGCAGCAATAAGTGGAAACAAATTTGTTCGAATCAATAATCATGAGCAGACCGATCTCCAAGAATATTTAGGTTCCTATATGACTGATTCTTCAGGGAAGCTTGTATTTCATGAAGGAGCGTTGGTGAAGGCTGTCAGGGATGGGCATTGGATTGTCTTGGATGAACTAAATTTGGCCCCATCTGATGTCTTAGAGGCACTAAACAGACTGCTTGATGACAATAGGGAGCTTTTTGTGCCTGAGCTGCAAGAAACAGTCCCAGCGCGCATCCTAATTTCATGCTCTTCGCTACACAGAACCCTCCTGCTTTATATGGTGGACGCAAAATACTGTCTCGAGCTTTTCGTAACCGCTTTGTGGAGATTCATGTTGATGAAATTCCAGAAGATGAACTCAGTGAAATTCTTACTGAAAAGTGTCTTATTGCAAAAAGTTATGCTACGAAAATGGTTGAAGTGATGAAAGACCTGCAACGCAATAGGCAGGCTTTTGCTGGAAAACATGGATATATAACTCCAAGAGATTTATTCCGGTGGGCAGATCGTTTTAGGACTTATGAAGGTAMATCTAATGAAGAACTAGCCAGAGAAGGGTATTACCTCCTTGCAGAAAGGCTGCGTGATGACACTGAGAAGTTAGTTGTTAAAGAGGTGCTGGAGAGACA